GGCTCTCCTTCCTTGGCAAGCTTTAAACTCCAGTTTTTATTCTGCTGGATCCTTGAATTTATTAAAAACTCTACTCATTTTCTCAGCCTCTCAGTTGCCTCTTCCGTAATAGCATCTATCTCTAGGGAAAATACAACTTACGTATTTTGGTGTTCCTCTTTTTCCTGGATCTTGGCTCTTTAATTCTTTGCGAACTAATTTGCTCTCTGATACCTGCAAAACTGTGGTTTTTGTACTGAATCTGGATTTTTTCATTATTCTTAGCTGGGGAGTCAGCCTGCATGCCTGCTGTCTGTAACAGAAAGGAGAGCTCCAAGGTTAGCATGCGCAGCACAGTCTCTGCTCTCTGGGATCTTGTTCTCTGGTTAGGGAAATGCTTGTATTAGAGGCTGGAGGCTAGAGGCCTGGGCAGCTTGTCCTGAGGGTGGCAGGAAGGAGCTTGAGCAACTACACAGCTCAACATGTCCATTTCATAGATGAGGAAATAGATCCAGAAAAGGCAAGGGGCTTGCCTAGGGACACACAGCCAAGTAGTAGCAGAGCTAGTCCTGGAATTTGAATCTCTTGAATCCTGCCCGAGTACTTTCTGGGGAGGGAGGGAGGGAGGTCTGTCTGTCTGTCTATCTATCTATCTATCTTTGTAGACATTTTCAATCATGTGCAAAAGTAGAGAGAATGGTATAATGAACCCTAATATTTAGCTGCTCACCCTGTTTACAGTTCTCAAAATATAACCTGTCTTCTTTCATTTATACCTCTACTTCTCCCTGCCACTGGATTTTTTTTTTTGAAGCAAATCCCAAATATCACGTGATTCTATCCATAAATACTTTGGTTTTGTATCTTAAGTACATCATACATAAGGATTCTCTTTCCTTCTTTCTTCCTTCCTTCTTTCCTCCCTCATTCCCTCCCCTCTTTTCCTTCCCTCCCCCAATCTCTCTCTTTCTCTGTTTCTTTCCTTCCCTCCTCTCTTCCTTCCTTCTTCCTTCCTACAATACCATTATCACACCTAAAAAATCAATATTAAAATATTGTCAAATATTCAGAATAGTTTTAAATCCATTTTCTCTATTATGAAATCACAAATCATTACAGCTAGCTGAGTTCGTGTTGGATTTCTCATCTATCAAGTTTGGGGGCTTTTGGCGTCACTGATTTTTTTTTTTTCTGTGCAGTCATATTGTTCCCCTAAGGGGGGAAGCATGAACAATGTCATTTCTTCCTAGTCTTAAAACAGCAGAGAGGGTACAAATAGCTAACCAGCATGGGCAAGGCATCATGGGGAGTCAGGGCCCTCTGCTGGAAGATTGTGTGGGAGCTGGAACCTGAGAGGAGAGGAAAACCTGTTGTTCCCAGTCCCACTCAGTCAGTGTGGCCAATCTTACCTGTGTACCCAGGGAGATGATTGAAGTCGCTCACCCCCTATAGGGCTTCATTCTCTTTTGAGCCAATGATAGGCCCCCATTCCTCTACAGCCATGCCTTCTACTCTGTATGGAGCCCATGAGGCGTACCAAGCAGGGAGAAGTGTAAGCCAGTAGGGCTAACCTTTGACAGCACAAGTAGGCTAGCCTGTGATAGTAGGACTAATACTATGAGAATTAAAGTTCTTCAAGGACAAGGGCTGTCCTGTTCACTGTGTGGTCCCTCAGGTCTTGGCACACAGTATGGGCCACCATCTAATACAGAGCTTGGAGTGTAAGTAGTGGTAGCAGCCAGTATTGATTAATTGCTATGTACCAGGTCTTGTTCTCAGTGATTCCGACGTATTCATTCATTTAGTCCTCATAGCTACCCCATCATGTAGGCACTTTTTATTCCCCTGTTAAAAATGATGATGCCCAGAGAGTTAAGTAATTTTAAGTGGTAAGTAAAAGAAGTGGATCCCAGTCCAAGCAATCTAGTTCCAGAGCCTGGGCCCTCAACCACTATAATCCCCTGCCCTGTAGCATACTTTTCAGCAGGGGTTGGCAACTATGACCTGTGGGCCAAATCCAGCCCTAAGAATGGTTTTTACCCTTTTCAAAGGATTATTTAAAAAGGGAGTAGAGGGCCAGGAAAAGAAGAATATGTACCAAAGAATATATGTGTCGCCCACAAAGCCTAAAATATTTACTCTCTGGCCCTCGGCAAACTGCTGACCCCTGCCCTAGAGGAGACAGTAAGAAAGGCTTTTGGACCTGTTCCCTATCTTAGGCTTGCCTCGGTGGGTGTGGTGGGCAGACTAAGTTCCAAAGGTGAGACTGGCAAGCAGTGGTCAAGACTTCAGTGTTCCCAGGACGTAGGAGGCTGAGCCGTCTTGGTTCTGTTTCATTCCCCAGGCTGAGGACATAAATATCAAGTTGGAGGGGGAAACTTCAGTGCGGAAACCAAAGCAGCGGCCGAGGCCTGAGCCCCTGATCATCCCCACCAAGGCGGGCACTTTCATCGCCCCTCCCGTCTACTCCAACATCACCCCATACCAGAGCCACCTGCGCTCCCCTGTCCGCCTCGCCGACCACCCCTCTGAGCGGAGTTTTGAACTGCCCCCCTACACACCACCTCCCATCCTCAGCCCCGTGCGGGAAGGCTCCGGACTCTATTTCAATGCCATCATGTCGACCAGCAGCATCCCAGCCCCTCCTCCCATCACACCAAAGAGTGCCCATCGCACCCTACTCCGGTCTAGTGAGTGACTCCCCCCCCCCCAGACCTGGCAGGAATGTGGGAGGGAGGGCAGTGAGCAGGGAAGACTCAGCTTCTGGGGCAGCTGGGGATTGGGCTGGAATGCTGTGGGAAAAGGGGCTCCACACGCTCTCCTCTGAAAGAGAGAAGGTTGTCCTGGCTCAAGGACACTTAGGTGTGGTGGAGAGGAGGTGTCAGCCCAGCCGCTTGGACTCAAATCCCAGTTCCACCATTTACTCCTACATCCCCTGTGGAAGTCATTTAAACTCCCTGGGTCTCAGTTTTTTCAATATTTAAATGAGGATGTTAGTATTTGGTTAATGATGAAATTGTCAATATATATTCAGCTGTTTTTAAATCCACAAACAGCAGTTTCCTATGATTCAACCTAATAGCTTCCTCCCAGGGCTGTGGTGAGGTTCAGATGCATTAACACACGTAAAGCACTTAACACTGTGCCTGGCGTGTCACATTTGTTCTTAATATTATGTGGCAGAGCCTGTCTCCTGGGTCTCTTCAACAGTCCTTTTGGCCCAGAGCAGACATTTTGGCTGGCCTGGATGGCGAATTGCTGAAAAATGTTGCCTACTCCACACAAGGGTTCATTTCCTCTGAGAAATGGGATAATCCTTTCTCAGGGTGATAGGATTATGTGTGAGACCAGAGGTAGCACAGGGGTGAGGCAGTGCTGTCCCTGAATTAACCTCTGACCCTGACCTCACTGTGGCATAGTTCTCTGGTGCCCCCTGGTGTCTGTGGGTGAGAAATGGCTCCCCCTGGGCCTGCTGGCCTTCAGCCCTTCAACTTCTACAGGAAGCTTCAAAACCTCTCCCTGCCTGGGTTGTGCAGGAAGAAGTCACTGTAGAGACCAGATTGGCAGCAAAGAAGAGGTCTGTCCATCCATGAATATTCATTTTGCCCTTAGCTGTAAAGTCTGAACTGGGTCCTGTGAGGGCCTCAGAAATGTCTGGGACACCATGGTCTATTCTAAAGAGAATGCAGGGTCATTAATTAGGGAGTTGAAATGGAAGCTTGGAAGACAGAAAAACAAGTTCTAGGCACTGTGGGATCAGCAGTCAGTGAGTGAAGCAGACCCTAAGCTCCGAAGCCTGCAGAGTGGTGGTAAGGAAGCCATTTATTTAAGAGAGGGTGGGGCTAGAGCTGTACTTCAACTAGGAAGCAGGTGGGGAGGGCACCCTACGAAGTAATGCAAAGGCCCGGAGGTGGGACCATGCAGGGAGCGCCAAGAGGGAGTGATCCGCTGGGATCGAGGGTCCAGGCAAGGTGGTGGTAGGAAGCATAGATGGAAGGGAAACAGGCCTTGAATGCTGAGCTGAGGAGTTGAGCTTTTCTCTCAGGTTGCAGAGGGAAGTCAGCAGAGATTTTGTTTTTGGAGCAAGGGAGTGTCTTGACATGTAGGGCATTAACATTAGCTCAGGAGAAACTGAGGCAGAGAACCCAGCAAGGAAGTGAGAAGATAATTAAGAAACAGTGATCTCCTTCACCACCTTGCTCGTGGGGTGGAAGTTTCAGCCTCTTTACCAGAGCAACTGTAGTTGAATGTTGGAGTTCATGCTGTGGTGTGGGCGCTCCTGGGGCAGGGACCCGGCTCCAGAAGTAGATCTAGTAGTAGTAGTAATAATAGTAGCTAATATTTTTTGAGGGCTTTGTGTATGATTTCATTCAATTTTCACATCAACCTAGGGAGATAGGTAGTAATAGCCCCTTACAGCAAGTGTGAAAGTGGAGGCACTCACATATTTGGTAGTCACAGCTGGTTGTCACAGTTGCAGTCTGCAGAGCCAGGACTCAGGGTGCCTGATTTCCTCGCATGAACCTCTGTGAGTCACCTCTGTGGCTCTTGAGCATATGGAGCAGCCACCTCGGGTTGGGGAGGGTGGCTTCGCTGAAGGGTGGAGGAGAGGGTGCTATTTACTAACCTGCCTTTTGTCCCATAGATAGTGCTGAAGTCACACCGCCTGTCCTCTCTGTGATGGGGGAGGCCACCCCTGTGAGCATTGAGCCGTAAGTGCAGCCCTGCCTCTGGCCCAGTGGGTGAGGGTGGCCAAGTGGGGTCAGTGCATGCAGGTGGGCCCTGTCGGCTGAGGGCTGAGCACACCTCTCTGGGCTTTTGCAGTCAGGCCTGGGCTTCACTGAACTTCCTCCTGCCAGCTTCTGTGTGGAAGTCACAGGGAAGGAAAGGACCAGCTCAGTTTGATTTTGCTCCTGAAAAGAATTAAAAGGCTAATCCAAGAGACTCTTTCCCTGTCTGTAAACCTCAAGCTTCTTCTCCCCTTTCCAGCCTCTGGGTCTTGCCTTTCTGGCAGGACCAGGTGCCACTTGCCAGGCTGTGCCCACAGAAGCCAGATTCCCTTACATCCAGCTGGGGCCTTGCTGTGCTCAGCCTCTGCCAACTACCCCCTGCATCTTTTCCATCCTCAGGGAGTAAGTCGGGTTCCCCATCCCCACATGGTGAGGCCTTACTCCCTGCCCTTTCCACCCCTGCAGACGGATCAATGTGGGCTCCCGGTTCCAAGCGGAAATCCCCTCAATGAGGGACCGTGCCCTGGCAGCTACAGACCCCCACAAGGCAGACTTGGTGTGGCAGCCGTGGGAGAACCTAGAGAGCAGCCGGGAGAAGCAGAGGCAAGGTGAGAGGGGCCGGGCCAACAGGCAAAGCAAGCACGGCCGGCTGCTGGGCAGTGGGTGGGCAAGGCCCTGCCACAACCTAGCCCTGCTCGCCCAGCCCAGCCCTAAAAGTGTGTTGCCTTCCTTCCTCCCCAGTGGAGGACCTGCTGACAGCTGCCTGCTCCAGCATTTTCCCTGGAGCCGGCACCAACCAGGAGCTGGCCTTACACTGTCTGCACGAGTCCAGGGGAGACATCCTGGTAAGACAATGCCCCTCATGGAGGGAGGGCTCCTCAGGGAGGCTGGCATGGATCTGTGTCTGCTGCTTAGGAGCCAGGCCTGTCAGGCCTGCTGATTTGAGGCAGGCGGGAGGGTTTGACCAAGTTGGGGGTGGTAGGGAGTTGGCCCAAGGAAGCTCTGGTTCCAAACTCCAGGCTTTGCTGTGCAGGGTCCACACCAGTCCCTGATTGTGGGTCAGTAGGTCCCCACCCTCAGACAGGGGTGTTATTGAAGGCCTTCTCCCTCTGTGGCTGCCTGCCTTGGGGGCTGTGTGTTCCCTCTTAAGAGGCCCTGAGCAGGCCCACCCCCCATGACCTTGTCATCTTGCCAGACCTACTGCTTGTCCTCAGCTAAAGGGGCCAAGAGTAAGTGCCCACCCTACTCAGAGACCTGAATTTTGCCCACTGAGATCTTTGCCAGGGCCCTGACCTTTTCTTCACTTCTTTTTTAGGAAACGCTGAATAAGCTGCTACTGAAGAAGCCCCTGCGGCCCCACAACCACCCGCTGGCAACTTATCACTACACAGGTGGGCTGGCAGGGTGGGCCTGGGGCCTGGAGCCTGGAGCCACGAGGGGGCTCCAGCATCAGTGGGGCCACTTCAGTGCTGAGTCATAGCCTGGGGTGCGGTGTGGGTAGGGAGGTGGGGGACGGATGAGCCCAGAGCCAGAATGAGAGAACTGACACCAATGCTGGGGTAGCTTTCAAGGGGTTTCCTGTGCCTTAGAGTGGAAGGGGGAAGGGGTGAGCCCATCCAGGCAAAAAAACCCAGGCAACAGGGAGTGCCATCCCAATTGGCATCAGTTGCCTGGCACTTGGACAACCCCCAGAGTGCCATGTCCTGTTCTGGGCGCTGTGCTTTAAGAGGGATGTTGGCCAAGTGGCATAATCGTAGCAGCTGCTGTTATCGACCCCCGTTGAGGGTTTCACCCGTCGGTGCCAGGCAGAACACCAGGGGTTCCACATGCGTTGTCTCACTTAGTCTCCACCACAGCTGGGGAGGTGGCTTCTATTATTAATTCCCATTTCACAAGAGGAGAAATTGAGGCTCAGAGGCTAAGCGACATGGCCAATAAGTGCAGAAGCAGGATGTGGAGCCAGCGCTGAATGCCTCCAGAGACGGTGGTTGGATGACTTCACCCTTTTACCCTAGTCAGAACTGCCCCCCACCGTGCTCACACTCCCACCCGCCTCACTCCCCTGGCTGCTGCTTTGCCCCGCAGGCTCCGACCAGTGGAAGATGGCCGAGAGGAAGCTGTTCAACAAGGGCATTGCCATCTACAAGAAGGATTTCTTCTTGGTGCAGAAGCTGGTGAGCTGGGGCTGTTTCAGGGGCAAGTGAGGGCCTGCATGGTTTGGGGCTCCCTCTGCCCATGGGGCACCCTGCAGTTGCTTACCAAGCCCTCTTAAAAAGCATTTAGGGCAATGCTTTTTAAGTAGCTGCAGAGACATTTTTCTAAATAAAACAAAAAGGGAAGTGATCGAGCCTTTCACCCCTTGGTTCTTAAGCCCCCTTCCCTCACCTCAGAGTAGCGTGGCTATACTCTGGGGTCTCAGTCCACAGCGGGGCTTGAGTGGGCACCAGACCCAGGAGCACCAAACTTAAAACAGTGACTTTCCTGAGGAAGAACAGGAGGGCTGCAGGCAGAGGTGAGCCATCCCAAGGGGCTGGAGTCCTTCGAAGGCCGCTATTAGTATGTGGGAGGAGAGGTCACCCTGAGATGAGGGGGGGAGCTGAGATGAGAGCTAGCAAGTGCCTCTAACTGACCTGGGGGCCTCTGCCCACTTCCTGTCAGACCCAGGGCTTCCTTCTGGTAACTCAGCTGACTGAGTGTTGGAGGCCCGAGCCTAGTTTTCCTAGATTTCTCTTGTCCTCTCCCCATGTTCTTCTGGGAGAGTACAGTGCTTTGCTAATCCACCGGTCCTGTCTCAGAGTCTGGGCTGTGAGGAGAGTGAGTTGTGTGGACCACTGAGGGAAAAGGGCTTCCCAGAATGTGCTTTCTCCTCCTGGGATTGTAGGTTGTGCCAGGACGCCCTGGGCCGGGACAGAGTGCTGACAAATCTCCTACAGGGGCCCTGTTGTGAGGACAGTCGTTTGCTGTGCTCCCTGAATGGGCAGTACTGCCGGGAAGTACACGCCTGTGAAGCTCACTGAGTCGCCCCTAATGCCTTAATGAAGAGAGCAGACCATTAGTCAGGCAAACAGATGATCAGAGGGAATTGATAGTAAAAGTGTAAACAGGATCTAATTAATACATTTCTGACTTGGCCATTCCTGTGAGATGAATCATGTCTGTTTCCTGCACGCACAGAGGGCCCTCTCTGACCTCTTGGGCTCTGTGGACGGGACCTGCTAGCTCCCAGCCCAGCCCAGCAGTTGGCTGAGCAGTCTGGGAGCCTGGAGGGGAGTGGGGAGAGTCTGAGAAAACAGCTGCGTGGGGGAAAGCCATCCAGAAACCAAACCCAGTGGCCAAATGGATTTGTGAAACGGGAGGGATAGGGTTTCAGAGCTTGGAAGGCCCTTGGAGATCATCTAGTTTCACCCCACTCACCACTTCCACACCAAGAGACTTGCCTGAGGCTACACAGCCATTCAGTGGCAGAGTTGGGAACAAGACTTGGTTTTCAAGGACTTTCATGTTAGTCTCTCTTGAGTTCCTCCCCAACAGAGGACAATTTGACATTTCTCTGTCCTTGCTTATCCGTCACTGCTGCCTAGAGAGGAATGAAATTGTTTTCTTGGATTGATGTAGAGAGGCTGTGTTGCCAGGTCTAGGCTGGCTTTGAATGTGGATTGTGCCCAGACTTTTTCCCCTTTAAACTTTTTCTTTTGAGAAATCTCAAGCTTACAGAAAAATGGAAAGAATAGCATAGTGAACACCCATATACCTCCCAGATTTACCAATTGTTAATATTTGCCACATTTGCTGTCTCTCTGTGTCTATATATAATTGCACACATACACCTATTCCTTCTGTTTTAACTAAGCATTAAAAGTAAGTTACATTAAAAAAAAACAACCCACAAAAAGTAAGTTACAGGCATCATGACATTTGACCTAAATATAAGATAAGAATATTCTCTTACAAAACCGTAGTACCATTATCACACCCAAGAAATTTAAACCGATACAATAATGCTCTCTAATGTGCAATTCATATTCAAATCTCAGTGGCTCTATGTTGTCCTCTTTAGTTTAGTTTTGTTTTTTCCAATAGTGCTGAAGGCTTGGTTAATTGAATTAGTCAGTGGTTTGCGCAGAGCAGGCGTTGTTGGAGAAATGCTTGTATTTCCTGGGTTTATTGGCCTTTAGTGTTTGCTTAGGTTAAGGGGGACATGCAGGGGATGAGAAAGTACCCCCAAATAGGTTAGCCTGCTGTACCGTATATCCGCTTAGGCCGTACAA